TCAAGGTCTCTAACCATCGATTGCTATCAACTCGCCGATCCCAACCAGGTAGTCTACACCTACCAACATGGCTCAGTTCAATTGTCAGTAACTTCATGGATTTGAGCCACGTTTTGATCTAGCCGCCCCTAGCTTTCTTCCAATCTACTCCTACTGTGGTGTGGTCTACTTATATCCATATAAGTAGTATATGGTGTAGGTCAGACATAGAATGTATTTTGGCAGAAGACCAATGAGGATAGAACTGAAATGAAGCGCAATCGTTTGGAAAATGCATGAGCAATGGAATAAGAGAAGAAACAGTGAAGATTGAAACAAGTGGTTGTTAATTTGCAAATTGACTGTTCATTGTTTGGTTATCAGAATTTACTGAGATAGTCTGTAATCTTTGATTAAACACATTCGATTGTCCCCCAGTCGTGTTCTGTTCACTACACTACACCATAAAACATTGTATGTGGGGCAGTCGATTATTCTGGATAGAAAGATATTGGATATAGAATACATTTATTTGTATCACATGTATTTATCATTATCATTATTATTGTTTATATTGACGTTATACCTGACGATAGAAATGATAGTGACGATGAAAAGAATATCTACAAATAAGAATATAACGAAAGCAGAAAGAAACAAATAGGATAACAGAAAAGAGATTGAATGAAAGATCCATAACAGAAGTATTACACGTAGAAAGTTGGTGTATCAAAAGTAAAATTTGGGCATTTCAATCGAAAAATATATAAGAGTATGAACTGTATCATTTAATGTATATCATTAAATTGCTTCATATCTTTCTTTCTTCCTTTACTATATCCTTATATATAATCTTTTATATATTAACATCATCAAATTTACTACTTTTATGAATTCGGTGCTCATCTTGTTGTGCTAATGAGGTCGCAGCAACTTGGACCAATGCATATATGTGCCTGGTCCTATGTTGTAGCTGACTGACTGAAGAATGTATATCAAGTGTACATATACTTGTGGTTAAGAAAATGTAGGTGAATTCACAATTCTGTCATCGTAAACAATAAACCAGGAATTAAAATCAGTGATGAAAATAAAAACACACCAATACTGTTTAACTGAGTCAAAGAAATAATTGACATTCAAAAAATGTCCATTATTTTATTCTGTACTAATACTCAATAACAATTTAAATTAAAATGAATTTAACTGTGAAAATACTACAGCCTCCATAAATCCACACGTTGATAAAAATCATGTACTCACTAGTAACAAGCTTCAAGATGGATTTCCTAGAGTTCTAATGAGAAACTATAACCACTATAGTTCAGTCCATGTCGGCTGTGAGACAATTATCTACCGAAAACGATGGATCAAGTGAAGTTAGATATTAACACTGTTGGATGAAGGTTCAACGGTCTGGAGGTTAAGTGTTAGTGCGCAAGACTGGAGGTCCTGAGTTTGAGTTCTGTGTGCGAGATCATGGATGCACACCACTGAGGAGTTTCATATTGGGACGAAAGTGGTCTAGCTTAGATCGACTCGTGAATTCGACTGTGAAAATACTACAATTTCCACAAGTTCCAATAATGATAAGCTCAGATGATTAAAACAAATAATTAAATGTGCATTTGTCTTTCTATTACAGATAATGGTAACAACAAAAGGAATGAGTTTAAAGTAACAGCTTCAAAATAATAGCCTGTTAATAGTCTGTCAGAAAACAAATGGATTATTTGGAAAAAAAAGGAAAAGAGTGTAAACGGAGTTTAAATATTGAATGAATCTATCAACAGTTCTAACAACTTATTTTGCCGGAAAATCAAATGAATAATAATGCATAAATGAGCCAATATGAATGTAAATTAACTGTATCCTAGAATCTTTATGAGGACCGAAGTAGATTTTTAAAGTCCCTACGTTATTCCTTGCTAAGGTTACGTATTTAGGGTCTGGATCAGAGGTTACAGATTGCAGTTTTCATAATGAACTGATAATAGCTATAAGGACAATTGCACTGTAGCTATATAAATAAGTTAATTTATTGCGAAAACAAAAGAAACAGTATTTGCTTATTTCATTCACAAAATATTGTGGCATCAAGGTTAAGGTTATGTTTACACATCAACAGAATGGTACGTAATCCGGGATTACAACTTTCCAATTAATTCTGTTTCTACCAATTCGGTAGTTGATATCACTCTACAATAAAAATTATTATAAAATCAAACAAACATCGATAAACAGTATCAAATTTGAATGAGTGGGAAGTCAGAGTTATGATTAACATCATAAGCTGGGCTTAGATAACTGTCCTAGTAAGTTGACACCGGAAGCGGAAAAGTGGAAGGTCAAAGTACACATTACGCCGGGAGATTGAAGCACATGTGAAAAGGATGAAAAACAACTGGAAAGAACTAGAAAGGATTGCCCAGAGCAGAGTTGAATGGAAAATACTGGCTGGTGGCCTAAACTCCTCAACAAGGAGTAACAGGTGTAAGTAAATAAGTAAGTAATAGATTTTCGAGACTAATTGGAAGAATAAAGGATCTGACCAACTAGACATACATCTAAATATCATTTCAACAAAAAACAGGAATTTATTCTCACATTAACGTTAATACTTTAAATAAGATTGCTGTTAACATCATATTATAACAAATTAATCGAGAAATAAACTATTAAGATTAAGTTGTGTAGCGGATGAGACTGTAGACTATGAACGACCTTTGAGTCACTCTAAAGTGACCTTGAGAATGTCCACCTACTAGTTAGGACAAGGGTTATAAACGACTGTGAGGAATTAGAATTATGATTTACAGTTGATGGTTAGGGTTAGGAATTAGATTTAGGCTTTTCATCACGAACCAACATCAGTTAAAATTCCAAAACGTTATTGAGTCTAATGAATGAGCGAATTCCCCATCAAAATTCAAAACGTATTACTTTATATCTGATTGGTTAGTCCATAAATTATAATCTCGCTTAATCATTATTTATCAAAATCTTCCTTACTCACTAAATTGATTACAATCACTTAACATCAAATATACAACAAAATGAATTGATTCAACACTTATGGAACAATTCAAACATGTTCATCTTCTAATAATATCCAAAGTAATAATGTCAGATTTATAATGAATATATATCCAACTCAAAAGACTAAATACCGCATAAAATGATACCGCCTATTAAATTATTGAAAATCAAATATCAAAACAGATTTTCATTTTTGTATTGGGTTCGAGTCTCAGAATAAACAGCAACTCTAGGGTCTAGGTGCATCAGGCAGAGGAGTCCCAAATAAGATGAAACGCGTATCCTGTATTCCTCTGCTATCCGCCGACCATCTCTGTTTATTATAATAGATAGTTTATAATTTATTGTAGTATTATTATAATCTAATTCAAGTGTTATGAAGTCACAATGATCATATCTTAAAACAAATACATCACTACTTTTAAATAGATGAGTGTAATCAGTAATACACAGATCTTACTGTTGACCAGCTGGTTTGGTAAGATACACTTTTTTTTAAGAAATACATTAGGAAATTCATTTCAAAGCTAGAGATAACTATAAACTGTATTTTTATATGCATATATGTATATATATAGAAGAGACTATTTTTATACAAAAGCTAACCATTTTTTATTGCAAATAGTGAAATCAGTCGTTGATAATGTCAAGTTACTGAATGCCAATTCATTTGATTATTCTATCTGATTGTATATATGTATTACTGTTTATGTTAACGGGTATCCATTGATGACCATACATCTCTAAGATGTACTAAATGTAACTAACTATACCACGTCTACAACTAGTGATTATATATTCCGGAAAATAAAGAGAAAAAAAAAGACAATTTCTGCGCACTTTCAGTTGGTCATCATAATAATAAAAAAAAAGATACGAAAGAGGAAATGGAAAAAAAATAGACAATCAACTAATCAGACGGACAAACAAACAGACAGACAAATAAATAGATAGATAGATAGACAGACTAAGGAACGGGTATTTCCTTTCATCTAAAATCTTTTCATTTGACATGAAATTATTTCAACTATATTTCAACCGAATGAATAAAGAAGAAAAATGAAGTACAAAAGTATATTTTAGTTGAATAATAAATGATACACCATTGTTATCCAAAATAGTTTCTATCCTATATGTATATATTTATACAACAGTCTGTTGTTGTTGTTGTTGTTGTTGCTGAGTGCGTATATAATCTTCCAATGAATGTAATCACTGGATTTCATAACTTCCGGTTTCTTTTTTATGAATTTGTTAAGGTATTAAGACGACTTGATTTATGTAAAGGATGGATTTAGTCAATGTAGAGTTTATAGATGTTCATAAAATCTTGAAAAAAAAATACATAGTTCAAGGAAATTTTTAAAAACAATGATAGAATGGTAACCAGCAAGAGATTGACCAATTGAAGACTTAAACAACAATGGGAAGAACAAATCAAACAGTATCAAATGTATTTCAAGAAACATTTTGAAGAAAAAAAAGACAAGATCAAAAGAGGAAACTTAGAGTGATGAATTTCATAGTAAGTTTATTTTTTAACTGCTGAAGAATACTAAGAAAAGATTATGAGCTTCATATTTATAGCTTGTCAAAACAATGGACAGCTGCTTTGAATTAGTACAGTACTTCTCGGCAGTAAGTATCCATTGTTGTGTCAGAGGTTAAACACAGGATATTCGGTCTCCAGAGTATGCTCAACTTTCAGACTAGTAAGTTAATATCCTATGGTTTGTATCTCTAACCTCAATGAATTCATGATACTAATCAACTGTCAGTTGTTCCAAAATTAGACGCTTACCACAAGGTTCAAAGATCCTGATGCTGTGATCATGTGTTATAGGGGAGAACAAATACTAAAACAAAATGGCTGCCCAGTGTACCTTGATTCTCAAAGACTGTCTAGCTATAGTCAGTTAGTATAATTAACTAACTCTTTTGTTTATAAATATGTAGTGTATTTGATAGAACTGTATTCCTACCTTTCAAAAACTTGTCCAGGTATCCTATGCGGTACATCATTATTCGTTTTACAAGTAAATTGAAACAAGAGATCAATTTCATGATTACGATATTCTTGATTTGTAATTATAGCCAAGTAACCAGTATACAAATCACCAGTCTACAAAAGAGGGAAAATATGATTACATTATTATAAATAACAATACAAGAAGTGATCATGTACACTGCTGAATAAAAAGTTGATAACTATTTCTACATATATATTATTAAAATTTGCATAGTGAACTTTGTTGAAATGACGGAATTTTTATGCTTTACATCAAGTTTGAGTCGTAGACGTGCATTCTTGATTAGTCCCATAATAAGGCGAAATGGCTGCGTAGTGTTTTCTGGTTTTCACTGATTGCCTAACAAAGATCAGTCTGTAATGCACAGTAAGGAGATTCAGCAATCTCCACAAATACCCAGTTCACTAATAGCGATTGCGTGTTCAGTACTGATTTCGAGAGTAATGCAATCAGTCCTGATCAGAATTGCTGGCCAGTGTAGTTGGGCCATGTCAGATGTGACGCATTTATCCATCAGTCACATTGGAAAATGGTCAAGCAAACGCCGACGCTTTATCTACTTGGTTGTCGATTAAAAATTATTTAATCGAAGTATAAAGTTTTAACTAAATTTGTAATACTTCTCAATTATCCTGTTATTAATATTTTGACTAAAACGTGGTCGATCTAACGAGTCCCAAATTAGACGAAACACGTGTTCTGGATCCCAGTGCCAGCCAGATTTCTCCTATTCCACGTTGGATTTCACAATGGCTATATCAAACCAACCGACACAGAATGCACATATGCCAATCAAATTTTTGTAAAATATATATACAACGAGATAATTTAGACCATCTTCATTGGTTTTCAGAGGATGTTAACACATCTAATCATTAGATAATAGTAGCCATGATTTCAAATTTGTTATGGTTTCTTCAAGACTGTAGACATTTCTAGCAGTTGAGTGCTGATAAGAACAAGAACTTATGTGTATAATTTCCACTCATCGAAAACCATGTAACGTTAAGGAGAAATTCCATCACATTATAGATCTAATTAATACAACTGTGTCATTATAGAAAATGTATCACCAATGAATAATGATATTCAGTACATTTAGTCACGTGATAATATGAATTCAATAATAAACCTTTGTGAGAACTATATCCAAATGATGAATCAGGTAATCAAAGTTATTGTTGCATAACAAATTTAAGTAGAGTATGTTTTGTAACCAGAGAATTTATCAACTAAAGTACATAGACCATTCAGTGTAAGCAGTTATTATTCCAATAAATTACTGAGATAATACAAATATTCAAGGACCTGAGGTTATCATATTTTATTTAGAAGGAAAAATTTTTTTTATATTTTATATTTTATAATTTTTTTTTATTTATATTTTAACATGGAACAATGAGATAGATGTGTATTTTGTAATTACTGCAGCTATCTTTGAATTAGGTAGTTTACATGGAAAGACCATTTAAAGTAATCAAAATAATATTTAAAGGGGGTTTTGTGGAGAATTCAGTAATTTTATGTAGTTGAAATCACGAGTCAATTAAAGCTAGACCACAATCGTGGAAGCGCACTACTGAGGGTTCCATAATAGGACGAAATGGCCATCCAGTGCTTCCAGGTTTTCCATGATAATCAAGCTTCAATTGACTCACGATTTCAACTATATAAAATAATATCTATAACATAAATGTTATTTACTCTGACAACTTAATCTGAAGTTATCTTGCATCAACAGCAAACGTTATTTGACGAATCTTCGAAAAATGTCTATAATTAAGTTTGGAATCAGTTATATCCATTGTTAGTCGTAAGATATGAGAGTTATAGGTATCATCCAGTATCAAGCGTTAAGAATTTACAGTTGGGAAGTTTCAAACTTATAATAAACTGGGTTCTAGGGTTCACACTACTTCTAAAATGGTTCTCGATGCGATCTATTTTTACTCGAATTACGACTAGAGTATCAGTGATATTATACACAGTAGAATATAGATATCAAGCGAAATAAAATTCGTATCTTAGGAGGACGATTTTGGTGAAGTTTTATGCTTTGAAATGGATGTTTAAAGCATCATTGCAATCAGACAAACGTAATATAAAAATTATCTAAAAATTTTCAGAAACTTGGCACGCGATCAATAAATACATCGAAGTAGATTCGATTGAATAACAACCATAAAGTCAAGAATTGGGTCAATGAAACGGCAGTCAAAACAACTGTGAAAATGATGGGACAAGAGTCGACAGAAGCTAATTAAGATCAAGGTAAACAGAACAAATTGATTGAATTATGTGAAGAAATTCTTAGTGAATTCTTGAGTAGGCCACAAAGCCTAAAGAAAGGTACTCCACTTAAAATGTAGAAAAAACACCACAATTGTGTTATCTCACTTCACTTCAACCATCAAAAAAACATTAAGAATACATGAAGAATGCTCACCGGTTGTTTGAAAACTGTTGCAGTTTCAGTTAACTGAAACACCATTACAGACAACTAGGATTTGGGTGATGACTAATGGACATTCAGTTTCGTTGAAATCACGGACTAGTTTGTGGTAGATCATCGAAAATCTGGAAACACTGTATGGTCGTTTCTACCCGCTGTGGGACTCTTTAGCAGTGCATATCTACGACTTGCACGCAAGATTAGAACTTGAGACATCTGAATGAAAGTTCAAGCTCTAGACTACTGAGTCCCCATCCGGCGGTGTTTATTTTTAACTTAAATCAATCTTCTTAAAACAATCTTCTGTTTAAATAAAGATAGAACAAATATTGATGCAGAATAATATGAATTCATTATATTTCGTGGTTTCTCATCAGCTGCTTACAACCAAATATGCATTAGAGTTTTAGCATTAGGGTAATAAATAGAATGGAACAACTGACATAAGGGAATGTAAAGGATTGGAATAACAAAAGTCATCGATGATAAATGCATATGTATATATATATATATATATCTATGGTCAAGGAAAGGTCAGAGGTTATTAGGTATTAGGATAAAGGGTGGCGTAATAGATGAGTGGAGTTAAGAGACAGATAAAATCAAAATGTGATTATGTTAGAGGTAGTTGAAAACAATTAGGGTGGGATTACGTAATGATTGAATAATTTATAGACGTAGTTGAAAACAATTAGGGTGGGTTACGCAATAACTGAATAAGATTTGGATAGTTCATATAATTAGGAGATACAAATGAGCGGAAATGTGTGAGAGAAAGGGTGGTTTAAGAATTGGGTATAAAAACACAACTGAATATTAACCAAAATTGAACTAATAAAAAAAGAAACTGAAACAAAACAAAAATGGGTTACCAAGGTAGTAATAAGTTTATCACTGTCTCTTTTTGAATACATAGGTCCGGTTTGAGTTTTTTTATCGCGATCGCCTCAGCAAACCGGAGAGCAGTTGTACTTCTTTGTTTACTAATGATTTTAAAGGCATTAGAAATGTCGATGCTGTGCCCGGTGTCGAGTAAATGCCGAGCTATCGCACTGTTGAGAGCCCTGGACCCTTGCAACCTCAGTTTCTTTAGAATATGCTAAGAAGAGTGCATATCCGCATTATTCTGCATCAATATTTGTTCTATCTTTATTTAAACAGAAGATTGTTTTAAGAAGATTGATTTAAGTTAAAAATAAACACCGCCGGATGGGGACTCAGTAGTCTAGAGCTTGAACTTTCATTCAGATGTCTCAAGTTCTAATCTTGCTTGCAAATTCATAAAGGGAACTAACTGCATACAATCTTCTGTTGTTCGAGATTCTGAAAGATATCCTTTCATTTACGCTGCTAAATTAATTGTTAACATACTAGAATGATAATGACTTAGTATTTCATTGATATTATCGAAATCCATTGTCAAGATTTCATCTTTAAACATTTACAATGTGCCGTCCAGTATCCAATCAAAGTGATACACATTTTCCCGAAATTTCATTTACTCTATAATTAACTCATTATTGCTTAGTGACAAATATCGTCTTTTTTTAGTCCTAAAGTGCTGATCAAATTCTATTATTCAAGTTTCAGTATAACCACTAATCTAAGTTATTCAACAATGTATATACTGCATTTAGGTTTTACGTAGTTCGATTTAGTTGATAAGAAATCCAGAGACCTAGATCTCTTAATAGTTAGCGTTCTTCAATAATCTTGAAGGAATTCCAGTCCCTTTCTAGGATTCAAACCCAAGTTAATCATATTCAATAATATTCTGAATAAAATATAATTTGACATTATTCTTATGTCAACTTTCGAAATAAAATAAATGAGGAAGTGAATCGTATACTTTCCTTTCATACTAATATACGTATGTATGTATGTATGTCTGTGTGTGTGTGTTGGTGTTCATTAACATTTGCATATAACTATTTTTTTTGCTTGTCATACTAATAAATAACATCATGGCAACAAAAATTCCGCTTAGAAAAATCTACTTATTACCTATGCAAACAAGATCAGTTGAAAAGAGACGAAAAAAAGAAAAAAACGAAAAACAACCCCACCCAACCCAAGCCAATTACATAATAAATTAAATTAGTTTAAATGTTTAAAATCATATTTCATTATTGACGAATGATTGAATTAATTAATGACGGAGTTAGTTAAATTATACCCTTTTTTATTTATTTATTTATTTATTAATTCTATAGTTAGTTGAAGAGATTTCCCTGTAAAATGGTTACTAAGTAATGTAAAATGAATTAGGTTAATTAGATTTCATTCAATGAAATGATAAATATTTATTTTGTCCTAAGTGGACCTCATCAATTGATTCTAACAGCTTACTTAGGAGTTGATTAACGTGATTCTATGAAACAGGACTCATTTCAAAGTGTTACCTAATTATTAGACTATTGAATTTTTATAAATACGAAATTGTTGTATAGGCATGATACAGCTGATTGATCACTAAGTAGAGAGTAATGTCATGTTTGTCTATTTTTACTTTGTGATCAATCAGTTATAATTATTTCAGTCCCAAAAGAAGTCAGTCATAGTCCTATTAGCTCAGTATTAATGTCATAGACAGTGATGCTTCATAAGATGAAATGAAATCTATTAGAAATCATTAGTTCCTTCGAATATCACGTTCACCATGCTGACAAGTGATACTTAGCAAGAAATAATGTTTCTAAGTAAAACTACTTTTAACTACCTAAACGTATCATGATACTATTTATCACTAACTAAAAAAGAAAATAAATTCACTCGGTATAGTTTGTTTGAATCTTCCCAGTGATGTTTAGGACTGAAATTGATCAGTCTGTTATTGACATATGTTCATACTAAGCGTATTGCCTTGATATAGCATTAACTCACTAGCATTATCAGCAAAGATGGATAGTGGGTAGCAGTGGAATCCAGAACGCATGTTTCATCCTATTCGAGACTCATCAGCTGAATGTACCTGCATCACTCCGGGATTCGAACTTTGTACTTTTCGCTTCAAAAAACAATTTATGATAGTATTATAAACAAAAATGGATAATACTTGTGGATTAAGGCTATATCGAGGTAATATACACAGCATGCATATATGTTAATAAGAGACTGATCAATTACAGTCCTATACATCAATCGGACGATTCAAACAAATAATATCAAGTGAATTTAAACTTAACCACATTGTATAAACAAGTGGCTATCAGGACTCAGTACTCAGGTGGATAACGTGATAGCGTTTGAAGTGAAAAGTATTGGGTTCGAGTCACAGAGTGAAAATCAACTCTGAGATGCAGTTATATTCATCTGACGAGTTCCAAACAGGACGAAACGCGCATCCTTGTTTCTACTGCTAGTCATTATCCATCTTTGCTTATAAAAATGAAAATAATATCAAAGAAAAGTTACTTTATTAAAACAAAATACTACTAATAGTAGTAATAAGTTTATTACCATATATTCAGTAATACTAAGACCACATGGTATATTCGTTGTATCCTTTCTCCAATCCATTGTTTTACACCATATATATTTTGTATTTAATTTATTATAATTTTTTATGATTGTATTATTATTCCATTGTTCATATTGTAAACCATAATCTTTTTTTATATTCAATGTACAATGATCAAGAAATTTTTGATAGATGGTTAAATTTGTAATTAAAGCAATTGAACGATGTAATTGTAAATTCTCAGCTAAATTTTGATATGGTGGTTGATTAATTGGTAGAAAACAGATTTCTAATAAATGTCGTTGACAAAATACATGTACTACAAATAGGGGGGGGGGAGAAAAAGAAAAATGAAAAGAAAAGAAAACAATTATATGGGATTGAAGAGTAAAATAAATTGTATAAATTCAAACCTGGAAGTAATGGATGATCGTTTCGTCTTATTGTGCGACTCTCATCAGAAGTGCGCACCCACGATCCTGATTGTGGATTTGAACCAAAGACATTCGGTTTCACGAGCAAAAGCCTATACTCTAAACCACTAAGCCTGCATCCAACGGTGCTAATGTCTAACTTCAACCAATCTACAATATTGTACAACCACCTTCCATTGTCAGCCGTGGGTAACTGCTCGACAATTGACACGGATTAGATCCACCAGTGACGACTTCTCACTAGAACTCCAAGAATCACTTCATAGTTATTTTCATTTATTTAATCACCTGATATTATAAAAACTATACAAGACTTATAATCAGTTATTTTCTTTTACATTCTAAATTTCTTTTTGTTTTGATTCACCATTAAACACAAGTGTGAAAATTAAATTACCAATATTATTGTTATTACAGTGTTTATTGTCCAACTTGCCTATCACCTTACTTTGATAATATTATGATTATGATAAAATCAACTATGGTTATTGACCAAAAAAATAAACAATAGAAAGTAAAACTATGCAACCATTAAAATTTGCTTTCAGTGAATTTGCCTATCTACCTGCCTATATATCTGCCAACCTATCTGCCTACCTACCTACCTACCTATCCATATATATGATTAAATTAAACGATAATAAAGAAAAAAAAGTTTCTTGACTCGTCAAATTTTATACTCCATCAACAATATACCAACGATCTTGTTGATGAAGGTGATGATGATGATGATGTTGATGTTGATGATGATGATGATGATTTTGATCTTGACGATGATGATAACGACATTAACGATTAATCTTTATTTATTCCCTTAATGTAATGATTAGAAATGTAATTTAATCATTAGCCATTCTTTTATATTCAATTACATTGGTTAAATATTATTTTCCCTTTTCAACTTAATGACATCATATATCTAGGAAAAATTTAATCAATATAAAAGTAACTTATGATGATGATGTTGTCTATTTGCCCATAATTTAGATAAAAGTAATAATAGTTACAAAACTAATTTATATCATTCATTAATTAGGCAGAATAAAAAAAAGAATAATAAAAGGCTTGTATACATAGTTACTAACTAATAGTTCAAAATGAAAGGTACTAGATTTGAGTTTGAACAGGAAAATCAATATTAGAATGTAGTATAAGTATCCAGTTGACAAATTTCATTGATGCAGTTAAAGTTAATGAGAACTTAAGGTGAATTAAATGTTTACAAATCATGAACTGACATCAAACGTTTAGGACTGCAACTGGTCAATCTCTTATTAGTATATGTGCATACTGTGAGTATTGCCTCGATATAGCATTAATTCACAATGGCATTTGAAGCGAAAGGTACTGGGTTCGAGTCTCAGAGTGAACATCAACTCTGAGATGTAGGTATATCCATCTGATAAGTCCCAAATAGAATGAAACTTGCGTCCTGGATTCCACTGCTAGCCACTATCCATCTTTGCTTATAATGGCATCAAACGGTTTACATTAATAAGTGATATTTTGAACTTATCATTCTAGGTTTAGTTGAATACATACAGAAAATCCTACTCATTAAAACTTGTGTAAATCATTTTGAAGCAACCCATTAGTAAACAAATAGTTACCGTTTATTTCGATGATCGTTAAAATTATTTAGTGTTTGAGCGCAGTTGACATGAAACTCTGATCAATCGAGGCTTTATACCATTTAGCACTTATAAACATGGCGAATCAGTGATCTTAAGGTAACGTATTTCTTTTTGAAAATTCGGGATATCGTCACTCAGTTCTACAATTTTAGATATTAGCAACAAAGTATACGGCACACAATTGACCACATTTTAATAATCGAAATGTTTACAAGTGATTGATCACTGAGCAGTGACCAATGTCACGTTTGACTAGTCCCTTGATCAAAAACACTCAGTAGTATGATCTAAAATAATTTTTTTATGTTAGTGATCATTTATATGTGAATTATAATAAAATATCCGGCTGTGAAATTTACTGACTAAGGATATAGTGAGTGATTAAAATTTATTTTATCAAATTATTCACGAACATTATAGTACTAAATTACCAACTAACTAAACCAGTAATTATCATAAGTGGGTTTTGTGGAGATTTCAGTAATTTTATATAGTTGCGATCATGGGTCAATTGAAGCTAGACCACTATGGAAAACCTGGAAGCACTGGATGGCCGTTTCGTCTCATTGTGGGACTTCTTAACAGTGCACATCCGCAATCACACGTCACGAGATTCGAACCCAGGACTGGCTTCATGAGGTGTTTCCTGGAGTTCTAGTGAGAAACAGTAATCAGTGGAGTTCAACCGTGTCTGTTGGAAGATAGTAACTCACTGAAGACAATGGTGAAAGGTTTCTCAATTTCGTGGATTAGTTGAAGTTGGACGTTAACATCGTTGGATGCCGACCGGCTCAGTTGTTCTAGAGGTAAGGTGCACGCTCGCGAGACTGATATGTCCTTGGTTGGAATCTCACGGGGCGGGGTCGTGGATGCGCATTTTTGAGGAGTTCCACAATAGGGCGAAACGGCCGTCCAGTGCTTCCAGGATTTCCATGGTGGTCTAGCTTCAATTGACTCATGATTTCAACTATATAAGCCAATATTTGTAAACGACTTAATTAGAGTTCTACAGTCCACATATATCCTGCCCACTGTAAAACTTATTATGCAATGAATTTTAGTCTATATCAAGTCATGATTGTAAATCACTGATAAGTCTGAGAATTAGACTGAACAGTTATCAGCCAATTATCAATTCTAATAGTTGAATTCATTATTTGATGTAAGCTAGACCACCACTAAATACCTAGAAGTACAATGCGACTGTTTCATCCTAGTATGAAACATCATGATTTAACATGATTCTATGACCTGATATCCGTGATTCTCAAAATAAACGTCTTAAACTTCATAAAACATCTCAATTACTCCCATGTTATCTATTTCTGACTTATCTTTTTTCTTAACAAGATTATTACACCAAACGTTTTTTATTCTCCTGACATAATTGTTATCATGTATTGTTGTCTGTTTAATAAAAAAATAAGTTCAGTTTGTAAATGAACCATTTATCGAGTAAATGACAGTTATTTTCGATTAGATGACAGTTAAGTCTGTTTATCAAATGACAGATATTCTCATCTAATATAAATTTAAATTAGAATTCCGTCTATACATATATATTTACCTAAATTCTCTCCGCATGCTTCATATTCCATTATTGTTGCCTGTGACAGCATAGATTTATAATTCTTCTGTTCATTAACATTATTGTTTATGATCTCATTATTATTACTGTCAATAGGAATATTATTATTATTGTTAGGTTGTACTAAATAAGTCTGTGTTGTAGATGATATTATAGACTGAAGATTATTTGGGCATAAACAACCAATCGATGATTCAATGACTTGTTCATTCATTGTATAACATTTTCCATTTGAATAAATACATGATGAACAGCTGGAATGATTCGCTTCAAGTTGAAGAACTGAAATCAATTAAGAAAACTAACAGCATATATATTTATATTACATTGAAATAAAAATTTTAAAAAAAAATCTCCTTCGAAATCAAATATGTCTTAACAAAAGTGGAAAGGTCTTCTTATGATAATTCATTTGTATTACTGACTGTATTTAGTCAGTCTCTTTCGAAATTATTGGCTAAGTGAATAACGCGTTGAGCATTTGAAGCGACAGATATTTTTTTTTTAGTATTGATTTGACTCATCAACAATGTGATTCAGGTATATCTAGGTGAAGTGTCCTATATATTACGAAACAGCAATGCTGAATTCAACTACTGGCCGGTGTCGAATTTCAGTTTTATGTTACTTCGTGTAACGAATTGAGAAGCCATTCTTAAGCTGAGTAGAATTATGCAACCTTACATCAGATTAGTTTCAATAGTGCATATCAATTATACCACTTGAAGTATAAAAATATTCGTCTCTATACAGCTTCACTGCAAAACAGACAGTATACTATGAAGTCAAATATCCACAAATCAAATCATGATGACAGAAGAATAGAAACATTATAAATAAGGTAGATTTGTGGAGATCGTAGTATTTTTACAATTAAAACCATGGATTGATCCTAGCTAGACAGTCGACTTTTTCTGAGCTTGCTAAAGCTTCCTAGAGTTCATCCGTGGGCCATCCTTACAACTACATGTTATCAAATTCTTGATTCCAGTATCAAGCACAACCTAATTAAGCGTTTTGTATTTAGAATACTAACAAAATAACACGTTTTTATCATATCTAAATCGTTAAAATTTGATTATCATCAAGTTATGTACGACTAATCTGAACAAATAATTTTTAATGTCGCTACCTAATTTGCATCGAAATTTCATCATAAACATAATGTAATAAGATTGTTCTTAACTCGACTTTTGTGGTGTTGTATAAAAGTGTGAAAGAGTATATACTAAGGTTTATTTAAGTCTTAGCCATACGAAAATTCAAACCCCCTTTGTTTATTCAAAAACAGTTTGTTCTCACCTTAAACCTGCCCTGGTAATATTAGCTTATTACCCAGAGTGAGTAGGTTTCAAATTGTTTCCAAATTACTATTATTATTATTATTATCATCATCCTTGTCTCCTCTTACCACCTATTTCCAGTGTGGTTGACCATTTATTTTTATATATGAATGTTCTTAGCAAGTATATGTGTGATCAGAATGTTCGAAATGTATTATGCTAATATATCATTACTTAGTTCTGATAATCTTTGTCTTCTTATTACACTATCGAAATAATACTACAAGTAAATACTAGTTTTATACTTGAAATCATGAGTCAATTAAAGTTAGAAGAACATGAAAAAGCTGAAAGCACAGGACGGCCGTTTTGTTTTATTGTGAGACTACTCAGCAGTGCGCATCCACGAAATCGCCTTGCGAGACTCGAACACAGGACCTAGCAGTCTCGCGCGCGAGCGCTTAACCACTAGACCACTGAGCCAGTCGGCGTCCAACGGTGTTAATGTCTAACTTCAACCAATCCACAAAATTGAGCAACCGTGAACCATTGTGTTTCAGTTAGTTATTATCTCACAACAGACGTGGTTTTGAAATCCACTGGTCACTGTTTCTCACTAGAACTCCAGGAAATACCTGTTGGAGTTAGTCAAATATACTAATTTCTTTAAAATTAAATCAACTCAAAAAATACATTAAACATAATACATTAATACATTAATAATAATTTATAGAATTGACTACTTACAACATTCATAATAACCTAAATGATTTTGATAAACTGGTATATAACCAGGTATACACTGACATGTGAATCGAATCAAATCTAATTCATTGTCTGTTTTAATACAACGTGCATTTTTACTTCGACATAATAAATCAATATTGTTACAATATTCCCATAAATCAACTAAAAAAATTAAATAAAATGAAAATTATATTAAATTAAATATAAAAAGAACACTGAAATGAATTTAAGTAATATACATGAAAGTATCAGAAAGGGTTTTGTGAATATTATAGTAATTACAATAGTCGAGATCATGAGCTGGCTCAGTTGTCTGGATGTTAAGCGCCCGCGCGTAAAACTGATAGGTCCTGGGTTCGAATCTCGTAAAGCGGAATCGTGGATGCGCACTGCTGAGCAGTCCCACGATACGGCGAAACGGCTGTCCAGTGCTTCCAGGTTTTCCATGATGGTCTGGTTTCAATTAGCTCATGATCTCAAATATTGAAAATATTTATGAAACTATAAGGTTGTGGTATGTATCTAATAAAATTCAAATTACGTAATAACAATATGATTGCATTCATCATTGCGTTTTGTCTTGTTCACATCGGAAAAACAAATGTAGTTATCAAGAAGACGTGTAGGGGACAAACGAATGTATTAGGACACGAAATTACAGGACATCTCAGTAAAATCTGGCAACCATACTGTAAATAGTTAATTTTTAAACTTTCAATCAATTCACTTAGTATTGTTTGTTTGTATTTTCCCATTGATGTTTAGGACTGCAACTGGTTAGTCTCTTATTGGTATATGTGCGAATCCCAGAGTGAACATCAAATCTGCAATGCAGGTAGGTCCAGCTGACGAGTTCCAAATAGGACGAAACGCGCGTCCTGGATTCCACTGCTAGCCACTATCCACCTTTGCTTCTCAATCAATTGTTTTAATCTTAACTGTTCCTTCTGATTTCATTGTTCATGCGTTTTCGTACCAATTACGTTTCGTTACCGTTCTTTCGTTATTGATCTTCTACTGAGGCATATTCAATGCCCGACCATCGTTATATACTATTTGTGTGGATATAAGTAGCTAATACCACACTAATTAACTAAAAGAACATGAAGATCTAAATTAAAATACAAATATATGGACAAAGAACATCCTTTTGAGTGAATTCTCTTTAGGTTCTACAATTATGTATCCAAATAATAATCGAATAAATTGACAGGTTTAAAGCAAAATGCATGGTTGAATAATTATAGTATATGAATTTAGAATTGTTTGTAATATATATACATATAGTGCGAAGCTGTGACCAGTGGAATGCAATACGTATCGGATATGAGAAAGTTGTCCACCTCAAACTATGAATGAAGGGTTGAGCAAGGTCATGGATCGATTGAAGTTAGATATTGGCACCACTGGATTTGGGCTCAATGATCTAGAGATTGGAAGTCCTAAGTCTCGCGCGCAGGTTCGTAGATGCATACGGCTGAGGAGTCCTGTATGAGGGTAAAACGGACATAGAGTGCCTTTAGAATTTCACTGGTTATCTAATACTGATTGATTCATGATTTTAATTAAAGATTTTATTTTAAATATTATAATCGGAAACGCATATGCTATAACTTCAAACGATATATTTTTTTTGTAAAACTTGGCTACTTATTGGATCAATAATTTGCATATATGATTGTAGAACCTGAAGAGAATTTATTCTTTGTTCACATATCTATGTTCTAAAATGGTAAGGATTTTTCAGTGAATAAAATGTAAATTACGTAAAATTCTTTGAATAGACTTATTTGTCTAAATCAGATAGAAAATGGCTGATAATCACCGCCTTGATATAAATATTCATTTCGAAACAATCATTTTGAACATTGTACAACATGCATTTGTTATAATTGTATTGCTACTAAACGATCCAGCTACTCCTATTGCTAAGTATTCTTATAGAATGACAGTTAACAGGACCCCAAAATCAGAACACGTTGAATAGGAACGAAATTGTATTCAAAATAATAAATGTAGGTGAACAGCAATAAATTGTTAGAAAAACGTTCATATATTTATAGTATATGCATAAGAAGCTTCTAGATGTTTTTCCAATAATCTTCCAGAGCTGATTGTTTATGTAGTAGCTAATCAGCGTGCGCCGTCACGATCATGCACATAGCGTGCCTTAATTCGGTTTATTTCCCGCTAACAACACATACAGAATCTTAAAACAATCATTTATGGTATACTTACAGAAAAAAACGCTCTATAATTATCATATATGTAATTCTAAGAATACTTGAAGTTTCGAACGATATAGAAAGTTCAATATAGTCACTAATACCAGTTAGTGAAGTTAATTTGCTTTTGAGAATTGATTTAAATATTAGTATATCACCATCTTATGTTGCCAGGAACAAACATATCAATGATATACTAAGTTATAAAGAGCTAAGTAAAAAAGTGGCCCGTATGAACATCTGGACTACCTGACCCTGATATACAGATATTTCAACAAGTTATCAAATTTTGTTTGTTTTAGTACAATATTATAGCTATTAATCGTATAACCTATTAAGGTAGGTTCCTGTACAATCTCTCGTTGTACAAATTACAAAATGCCCAATCAGAGATATCGTGGTTGCTGGTGATATGCACTGAAAAGAATATATATTATTTAGATATCGATTGACTAGACTGCTAACTTCTAACTGGTGATCACTTAATATTTGTCATCAGAATCAATCAAGAAGTAAGAAATGGAAACTTGTTAAAATACTTTGTTCTAAGAATTCTATATTATACCAATAATGTATTATTGAATAAAGCTAATGATAATAACAATCATAATATTCCATCCTAACAAATGAAATCAAACATCTAATTATTGATAGTACTACAGTTGTTAAGTAAATTAATTTACTTAACAACTATTGTGTTTAAAACTAAAATACAATCTATCATTAAGCACTAATTATATGAAAACATCTAATATATGTTATAATTAATGACTTTTGATGTTATGAATTTCATGTACAATGTTTGCTTTTTAATTATCAAAGAAATTACGTTACACCCAAAGTGATGTGGTCAACAATAAATATATTGAAAAGTTTAAAATTAGAAAATAAATCACATATATATAAGCAAAGATGGATAGTGTCTAGCAGGAGAATCCAGGACTCGCATTTTGTCCTATTTTAGGACTCGTCAGTTAGATGTACCTGTATCTCAGAGTTGATGTTCACTCTGGTAAGATACAAGTAAACAACACCATGTGAAATCACATATTTGCTTAAGTTTACCTCATATTAAAAAAAATCCAGTATTTATATAAGAAATAATCTATATTAGTGATAATTTTCAATTATTTTTAAAATAAAAAATTCATTTAAGAATTAGTTGCCAAGGATTAAATATTCAGGTTGTTTAATCGAGAGGAAGATTCTTAAACGATTTTGTTCTTATGTAAATCAAAATAGTTTTTTTTTATAGTAATTTGATAAAAGAGGGGGATTTAAAACTTATTGTAAAACCATGATAAGTATTATCTTGTTTAAAAAAAAGGAACATCACAGAGGTTTGTCAAGAATATTAGTAATATATTTTCAAGAAATCGAACATATAACATCTATAAGTAACCAACCAATGTCTGACAAAATCAAATTTGATGCATAACACAGTACTCAATGACTAAACAGTCACCTTGTGCAACACTATCTGTGTGGAAAAAATTTAAGACAAAGGTTATCATATTGTCTATTAAAATGAATATAATCTTTTGATCATCACGTTTTTTTGATCTGGTAGAAACTTACATTTATCATAAACATGATAAAGTCTTAAGAACAAAATGAACAACAGAAGAAGAATTCAACATCATTTATAAGGAGAAATGTTATTCAGAGCTCTTCTTGTATTCATATTTCAAATTGTTTTTATAATTTATCCAAGTAAAAATGCTCATATCAACTGTTTTGATTCAAAAAGTTCAACGTAAATAATAATATACCACAATAAGACGAAACGGTCGTCCAGAGCTTCCAGATTTTCCATGGTGATCTGGCTTCAATTGACTTATTATTTCAAGTATATAAAATTAGTAAAATCTTCACAAAACCCCTTTTTGGTAAACAATAACAATTAAAAATATGAGATAGAATGGACAAGAATAAGTCAATATGCGATGTACACTACTTATATTGACAAATTTAAGTGGTATGTCACATCAATCAAAAGCTGAATGCTTTTCAAAATAAGATTGAGAAGATTAAACTGAAGAAAACAGATAGGGAAACATAAAACGATTGAGAATTGTAAGAATCATAAAGGATGTAAAGACAACTGATGGAAAGATGTGAAAATGAAATATTTATGTATGGTTTTCATAATTTACGAAGACACTCTGTGACGTTGTACTATTAGGAAATTGTTTGTCTCTACCTTAGCTCTTTGATTACTACAAATAGACTTAGTGAATTTCTGATGGATTCCTTTCCTATCTGTGGTTGATGAAATCTGTCTGACTATTCACAAAACGAAAAAAAACATATGATGTAAAACAAAGAGCATATCTTACTAGTATATAAACCTAATTGTTAGACATCCATTAATATCGTTGATATATCTAATTGGAAGGAATGTTTGTTTTACTAATTTGAATTATTATACATTTGTAGTTGATTTTAGTTATACAACTAAGGAGCAGTAAACTGATATTTAATCCTAGTATACAACAGTGAGTACTCCAGTTTTTGCAAGCAAGACTTTGAAGTTTCATGGTCATTATTACCATCTCTCAGATTCTTGATATGATTGAACTGAACTGGTCACGGAACTAATACTTGAACAGAAGTTTTCAATTACATATATACGTTTCTACGGCTTGATTGGGAATTATTCGCCAAGTTTTAAAAAAAAGGATAACAACAACAACTTCTCATTAAATCACAATAACTCACTTACCCATCATTGCTTTACAAAAATACCACTGAGGAAATTGTTGTTGTACAAGTTGATATGTTGATAAGGATATATTTTCATCAATTTTTTCGGCTGATTTTGAATGATGAGATTTTTGTAAATGACTATGATTTGTATTTGTTGTTAAACCTTTCATTGAAAATGAAACTAACATCCCAGTATTATGTGGACAACTACATCCATATGTCTCTGTACTGAAATATGAAAAACGAACGGTATAACATGATACTTTATCCATAGAAGTTTAAATTGAAAAGATTCAACAGAAAATTTAAAAAGGTAACTTTTTTAAACACTCTTCTTTGATAATTGATGTAAAAAGTAGCATGTCTTTGAATGATATTTCATACATTCGATGTTTAATATAGTTTAATCATCTATGGTATACAAAATGAATGATAATCTTGTAAACAGAACTTAGAATATCAGTATGTCTAACTTCAACCAATCCACGTAATTGAGCAACCATTCACCAATGTCTTCAGTGAGTTGATATCTCCCAACAGACCTGGGTTCGAATCTCGCGAGGCGTGATCGTTGATGCACACCGCTGAGGAGTCACACAATAAAACGAAACGGCCGTCCAGTCCTTCTAGGTTTTCCATGTTGATCTAGCTTCAACTGACTCATGATTTCATGTATATAAAATTACTATAATCTCCACAAAACCTACAGAAATTCGCAAGAAAACAGGCTATATGTATGTATGACTTTAAAGAATAACTATAAAAGTACTAAACAATAGAAACTTACTTTTCAGTATATTGAAGAATTTCTTTAAATATTAGATCTATAGGACTGTTGAAAGGGATTAAATCATTGTCTTTATATTCATAACGTTTATATCGTTTAATTTCATTTACATTCAATATTTGATTAGAAGAAGAATAATGATAACAAACTCCATTCGCTTGTCGACATTTTAAACAAAATGGATTTTGATTATTCTCTACCGACTGTCCTATGAAATTAATTATATAATACAAAATTACAGAGATAAGTAATGAATTCATCAAACAAACAAACAATAAATGATTGGTAAACACTTAACATATAGTGGTTATTTAGCACCCTGAAGAAGTCCAGACAAGTTAGCTGGACAAACCATTGGAATTACTTAAATTTCACTCGCTAAGATTATTTCAAACATAATTTTCATATATAATGACTATAACGGTTAGTTAGTTAGTTAGTTGTAAAACTGAAGAAGGTATTCTGTCTCATTTATGACATTGCAAATTCCATCAGTCATGACTTCTCATTCATTAGAATGTTCGCTAATTGCCTTAAAACTTAACCAAAAGCTTACTATTAGTTGTTGTGTTGTTCGTCCAACATAATATTTTAACATCTTATTGTATTTCAAATATAGTAATCGATAAATAGTATATTTATAATACCACCATGAGTAGAAAAATTAGATTTTCTAACGTTTCGTGACTCAATGTAAGGTACTTCTTCAGAGAATGAATAACCAAAGTGTAACTGAAGTATGATCTATCATAGTTTCTATCTTATCAACTATAAATGTTATGTATATCTTTGTATATGTATATGAAATTGACAATTTCATTGATTCATATTCACATGACCGATAACCAAATTACATTTCAATGCGTTTTCTTTTCATTAAAAAGTAACCATTGCTACATTATTTATCGAAAAAACTCAATAATAATCAATATTAAAAATGACTAAACTCTTGTAAAAAAAAAAGTATCCCCCACCCCGATGATCCCCTTCTCACCCTAAAATAATAAACTTTTGCGTGATAAACAATCTTAGTTAGAAACTAAACTAGTTCATATACACAAATGAACAAACACTGCACATGTATATATTATAAATTTCTAATAATTTTTTTTTTACTGAAAACGAATTTTTGTAACTAACTACTGAATAAAATTATGATAGTAGTTGAACATGAGGAAAGAGAATTATTCTGTTTGTTTTTTACAAACGATCAAAACGAAAAAGAAAAAGAAAAAGGCATTAATTTGTATCTATGAGTGTTGGTGTTTTATTTCCCTCCAACTTTTGATTCTTTTTTTTCTTTTATTCTTCTTTTTTTTGATTTAGAGTTTAGATGTGACCAAATAAAATCTCTATCTACTTAAAAGAAAATGGTATTACATTTTGTATACTTGATTATGCGTGATATTGTAGTGTCGGTTACTATGTTAAGCCTATATAATTTATTCTAGTTTATGGACAGGCTAATTTATCCATTCTTTTTGAGTCACGTTTCGGCCTTGTCAAATATTCACTTATTAATCTTGACTGTTTTTTATGTAAGTGTATGTGTTTGTATTGCCTATCCTACTCATCACATATATTTGTAGCTTATTTTTGTGTGACAATAAATATCGATTAACACTTGATTAAATGGAGTTGTCTTAAATGATTTCTCCAATGCACATCATCTTGCTTCGCTCTCTTTCTTTCAATTAGTCCCTCTGATTGTCTGTGACGAGTTACAAGGTTTCTTGCTGATTGTGTTCAACATTTTTTCACCTTAAAAACCATATCTCAATGTCCAGATGTTTAGTCAGTTGACCATACTACAGTTAAACTGGTAATGAACATAAGACAAGAGCAGCAGATTAGTATCGTTACTTATCCGTGGATACAAATGAATATATATTATGTTCATTTGGAACTAAGTAAATATTAGCTGAGAACTCTAAACATAAGTGTTGTGTTCTCTTAATTAGATTATTTAACTTCCCTAAATACTTCAAGCTGAACTTGATAAATTCTAATCACTATCAGAATACTAAATAGGGTCATTTCTCATTAAATTATATAATGGACACAGTCAATAATCCATGCTATACGGCTAAGCTAATATCCAATTACATCCAATAAAGTTTGTAAATGACTATCTGCCTATTCTTCCACTCACTTTTCCTGTAATATCCAAGCTTATTTTAGTATGTGTTTGTTTCCTTTACAGTATATGTATAATCTGTGTTCCATACACCGAATTAAAAGTTTTGGAAACGTTTTGAAACAAGCGTAAAAGATCCAAAGGGTACTCAACAACAATTTCCGCTTATATATTAACAATATTTCACAGTTTACAATGTATTATATCCTCAACTTTTACCATACCATTCCAATATTTTCCATATAAACACGAAGTGGAATGTTTTTTATCAACAAACTCTCCCTACAAAATTCTAGACATTTTACTGATCTTATCTTACAGACACTTTTCCCTGAGAATGAGTTTCATGAGAATGTGATTAAAAAAAAGATGGATGGTGATGATGATGATGGTGCTGACGAAAATCTTACTATCTATATTATAATGTTCACAATTTTGGAAATACTAGTAAAAGTAGGTTAATTACTTGGCAAGAGGTAAAAGTTGTAATTTGTGGGTGTGGGTTTATGTGGTTAATAGAATTAATCATGGTCTTCATCAATATACGATCGATGAGAAAGGAAAAGTCAAGTAGTTTACATCATAAGCTGTGGATAGTTCGACAGCTATTGAAAACCAGGAAGTAGTAAACAAATTTATGTTAGAATGAGAATTTGTTTGACTTTGATAATCCGTGTCGGGTAGTGCCAGATATGTATCTCAAACAATGGAAGATGGTCACGCAAATTTGTGGATTGGTTGAAGTTAGACTTTAACACCGTTAGATGGTCTAGAGGTTAAGAGTTTGAGCGCGTAGGTTCCAGTCCTGTGTGCAGGATCACATATGCGCACTGATAAACAGTTTCAATATTTCTGGATGCGATGTTGTAAGAATTAAGGGTTTTAACTCCCCAACAGTTCGAAATCTGTTATGTTAGAGTTCTGTAGTCTTTAATGACTAGAAAATACAAGTCAATATGCGGTGAATATCAGTCTCAAGAAACCTTCATGTAATCTGAGCGAAAATTTCTTTTGTTTGCAAAATATGCCTTGAGTTTCAGGAAATCCTACTTCAAGTTTCGGTAAACCATTTAGCTAAAATACAAGTACACTTTGCATTATATCAATCATTTAATACCAACTTCCAGCCAAACAACCAAGCCAAATATTGTTGTACCCTAGAATTCTGATTTTCTGAGATAATCAACAGTAATTCTTCATAGATTAAATATATTTATGTAATCTTCTGTAAAACAAAATCTTATACAGATAATGTTTATTAAATAGAAATTTTCAAGCCTGAACTATCCAAGCATATGACTGAATGATTGAATTCACGTTTAAAGTTAAATAAAAAATGTTGACAGATTCTTTTGAAGCATCATCATTATCGTAATATCACATAATCTGTTGACATATCACATTAGTAGACAAATCAATGTTAAAGGGATTCTTAATGATGAAAACAGATCAGAATAGATAATTCTTGTTTTCTTTCGACAATTTAAGTTTTATAATCCTAGTTTTTAAATCGTTTGATTCATGAGTCGATTTAAGCTAGACCACCACTGGAAACCTAGAAGTATTGAACAGCCTTTTCGTCCTATGATAAGATTCTTCAGCAGTGCTTATCCACGATCCCACATGTGAGAATCGAACTCAGCATATTCGGTCTCGCACACGAATGCTCGAAATCGAGAGCTGTCATCCGACAGTGTTATTGTCTAACTTCAGCCAATCCACGAAGTTTAATGACTGTTGATCATTGTCTTCAGTGAGTAACTACTTCACAACGGACAAGTTCTAGAGGTTTAGTGTCCTCACGCGAGAAATCCGAGGTTCTAGGTTTCAGCTACGCGTTCAGGATCGCTGATGCACACTGATGAAAACTCCCAAACTAGATTGAATCGGTCATTTATTACTTTCAGGTTTTAAATTATGATCTATCTTAAATCGACTCATTAATTCAACTATTAAACTACTACATTTTCCGCAAACCCTCCATTCCTATCTTTTGCCAACTAATACTCATTTAATATTGACTGTATGCATGTTTTAAAGAAAGAATTCGTGGTATTTTCTATGAAAATTTAATCATATCTGAATCATTCAACAAATCCTATCTTTTACTGTCTATCAGTTAATTAACTCAACATAGTGTGTTGTGGATTACTTATATCCCTATAAGTAGTATATAACGATGGTCGGGCATTGAATGTATTTCAGTAGAAGATTGATAAGGAAAGAACGGGAACGAAATGTAATTGGTATGAAAATGCATGAACAATGAGAATAGGAGACGATAGACTGATGATTGCAGAAGGAACGGTCAAGATTGAGACAATTGAGTGATAGCTTGCAAATTAACTATTTACTATATGGTTCTCATATTTTATTGAGTGATTTTGTAATTTTGTACCTAAATACATTCGATTGTCCCCACCCATGTTTTATGTTCACTACAATCGTACTAAGACTAAAGTAAATGAGGAGAAATATTTGTACCTACAAAGTAATGGTTGAAATATAGATATACTTCTTAGATCAGTAGTAAATGAATACAAGTCATTATGATATTTATCAATAGTACAATGAACATTAAAATCTCAAACCAAATCAGTAGTATATATATATATATAAATATTGAATGACTACTTACGACATGCATTATCCTGAGATACATAAATTGTACCACCTGGGCAAGCACAATATCCTGCACCTGGATGACATGCACTATTCACTACATGTATACAATCACTATCCACTTGACATTTTAAATTGGTTAACACTACAAAATGAAATATAAATATATACATATAAATACTTTTCTAAATGCAAAATTTATGTATACAATTAAAAGTAATCCATTTGTTATTTAAATTTGTTATGCCTCGATACTGATACATACTTACTTACGTACGCCTGTTACTTCCAATGGAGCATAGGCCGCCGATCAGCTTTCTCCAACCCAATCTGTCCTAACCCTTCATTTCTAGATCTATCCAATTTTTGTTCATTCTTCTCATGTCTGCCTCCATTTCTCGATGTAATGTGTTCTTTGGTCTTCTTCTTCTTGTTTAGCCTTCAGGATTCCGTGTGAGAACTTGGCTTGTGACGCAATTGGGTGCTTTCCTCAATATGTGTCCTATCCACTTCCAGCGCTTCTTCCTGATTTCTTCCTCCGCTAGAATTTGATTTGTTTTCTCCCACAGTAGATTGTTGCTGATAGTGTCTGGTCAACGGATCCGAAGTATTTTACGTAGACTTGAAGACTTTTCCTGGTATTGAGAGAAGAGTGATGCCCCTGTAGTTGTCGCACTTGCTCAGATTGCCTTTCTTTGGTATGTTAATCAGAAGTCCTTCTTTCCAGTCTGTTGGTACTTGTTCTTCGTCCCAAATCTTACTGAAGGATGTGGAGTATCGTGGCAGTTGCTGCTACATTTGCTTTCAGTGCCTCTGCCGGGATGTTGTCTGGTCCCGCTGCTTTGCCACTCTTGATTTGTCTAATGGCCATGATGATCTCTTCAATTGTTGGTGGGTCAACATCGATTGGGAGGTCTGTGGGTGCTGCTTCGATGTTGGGTGGGTTCAGTGGAGCTGGTCGATTCAAGAGTTCTTTGAAGTGTTCTTCCCACCTGTTTCGTTGTTCTTCAATGTTGGTGATTACTTTGCCTTCCATGCTTTTCACTGGTCTTTCTGGTTTACGGTAATTTCCAGCAAGTTTCCTTGTTATATCATACAGTTGTCTCATGTTTCCCTCTCTTGCAGCCTTTTCCGTTGTCATCGCTAAATCTTCCACATATTCACGTTTGTCGGTTCTGATGCTCCTCTTCACTTGCTTGTTTGCCTCTGTGTATTCGGCTTGTGCCTTGGCTTTTTCTGCTCTTATTCGGCTGATATTGATTGCTACCTTCTTGTTCCTTCTTTCTTCCATTTTATCCAGTGTACCAACAGTGATCCATTCCTTGTGATGGTGCTTCTTTTGTCCCAGAACCTCCTGACATGTTGAAACGTGTGCCTTCTTGATACCTTTCCAGTTGCTCTTTATGGTAGTTCCCTCTCCATTGAGTAGATCATGAAAGGCCTCGAACCTGTTGCTGAGGGCTATGTTGAATTTGTTGAGTTTGTCAGCATCTCGAAGAAAGGCCGTATTAAACTTTTGTGATGTTGTCCGCGCCGTTGTCCACTGCTTCTTGAGTTTTAGTTTCATCTTGGCGACCAGCAAATGATGATCGGATGCTATATCAGCTCCTCTTCTGGTTCTCCCATCCTCCATCTTCCTCCTGAACTTTTTGTTGATGCAGATATGGTCGATTTGATTCAGTATAGTGTGATCCGGTGAAATCCAAGTGGCTTTGTGTATGTTTTTGTGTGGGAATATGGTGCCACCTATGACCAGTTTATTGAAGGCACATAGGTTTGCAAATCTCTCACCATTTTCGTTCCTTTCTCCCAGTCCATGTCGTCCCATGACGTCTTCTTATCGATTGTTGTCCATTCCAACCTTGGCATTGAAATCTCCCATTATAATGGTCAGGTCCTTGGTTGGGCACTTCCAGAAGATCGATTGCAGCCTATCGTAGAATTGGTCTTTAGCGTCTTCATCGTAGTCGTTGGTAGGCGCACAGCATTGGATGACGTTCATTGTAATGCCCTCTCTCTTTGTTTTGAAGGAGGATTTGATGATCCTTGGTCCATGAGATTCCCATCCAATAAGTGCATTTTGTGCTTTTCTGAACAGCATCAATGCCACTCCTTGTGTATGTGGGGCTTTTTCTTCTTCATGACCGGAGTATAACAGAAGTTCTCCTGAAGATAGTCGTTGTTGTCCAACCTGCGTCCAGTGTGTCTCACTGATCCCAAGCACCACCAGGTTGTATTTTCTCAATTCTGCAGCAATTTGGCAAACTCTTCCGGTCTCCCACATTGTCCGGACATTCCATGTACCTATAAAAATTGTCGCTCTGGTTGTAAGAAGGTGCATCGGTCTCATGACTTTCGAAGGAACTCGGCTTTCATCATGAGACGTCATAATTATTCCTTCTACTCCCAGGGCAGAGTTTGAATGGTTTGAATGATTTTTTCTGGTTAGCGTTTTTTTAGCGAGTTGATTTTCTACGGGATGGGGTCGTTAACCTTATTCCCAACCATCCTCCTTTACCCGGGCTTGGTACCGGCAGTAACCCCCAGAGGAGCCACAGACGGAGTTTTCAAGATACACAATAATTTTTTTTAATTTCCTTACAATAGATAACACTCTTTGCTTACGATATGGATACTAATTGATCACTCAAAAAATATCAGTGAATTGAATTAAATTTCTTCAAAGTCAATTGAAATTATCGTACTTATTTGAACATACTTATATTCATCTTCTGAACGTCTGAAAACAAATTCCACTTTGAATAAGTGATAAGTATGTTTGTGAGAGTTTTAACTGACTTTAGTTAAAGACATCGAAAACTGAAAAAAAGGGTAGTTGGGACAATCCTATCTTGGATCGGAATTAGGATTTAAAGATCTAGGGAGAAGCGCTTAAATTTCAGACATCTAAAGTGACAGCATAATGATTTACAATTTTTATTTTGGTCAATTCGTTATTTTGAGCGGTCGTTATGTGATGCCTTTCATGGTTAACTGCTTCATCTTCCATACTGTTGTACTCCACTGGTAATGGTTTCTCAATAAAACTACATAAATCGCCTCTTTATGCTAGTAACAAGTAAACATGTGACAACCGTTATGTTGATATGAAATTGCTGTCTGTTGCTTCCAGGTTTTCAAAGGTTGAAAAACTGATTTGAAGTCTAAAGTAAAATTGGAAGTTTAGGGTTGTGAAGATTGTTGAGTTCTACTGAAATCACTAATCGATCAATGTTTGACCACAACTGAAAACCCGGAAGCGCTGGACGGCAGTTTCGTTCTAGTATGGGACTCCTCAGCGGTGAACATCCAGGATTTCGTACTCAGAGATCGGAGTTCAAAATCCAAGGTTCTGGGTTCGATCTCTATTGGACCACATCCGGTTTAGCTGAAGTATACACTTTCTAAACAGTTTTTTTGAACTTTATTTTGTTATTTCACCGGTTGCGTCGTTTCTGGACATCAGCTTCAGGAACAGTGACTTCTTCAAAACAGTAATCGGACACAATTCTCAGTGGGAAGGTTAATTCATTTTCTCTGGTAGCATCAGAAAAAATCATTTTGACACAATTATTCAGGATTTCTATCAAGTTCACTTGGTGCTCCATTGTTACACAAATATAAAAATCCGTATATTATCATATTGTGGATTTTCTAAGTATGTCTCATTGTACTTAAATTGTATAGTTGACAACTTTGAAGACAATGGCGAACGGTTGCTCAACTTCGTTGATCGGTTGAAGTTAGACATCAATACCATCGGATGCCGGCTCAGTGGTCTGGTGGTTAAGTGCTCGCGCGCGAAACCGATATGTCCTGTGTTTTAATCTCGCGAGGCGGGATGGTGGATGCACACTGCTGAGGAATCCCACAATAGGACGAAACGGCTATCCAGTGCTTCCAGGTTTTCGATGGTGGTCTAGCTTCAATTGACTCATGATTTTAACTATGAAAAGAATTTTGAATCCTCACTGTATAAAGAACACATTACGCCGAGAAATAGAGACAGACATGAGAAGAATGAACAAGAACTGGATAGAACTAGAAAAGAAGGTCCAGGACAGAGTGGGTTGGAGAAAGCTGTTCGGCGGCCTATGCTCCATTGGGAGTAACAGGCGTAAGTAAGTAAGTAAATAACTGTATAATAACATGTATTTTATGCCCCTTTGTACTAATGTTTATATGTTCAAAGAAATAAATAAAGTATAATAATACGTAATACAAATTATGTTTATATTTCACAGTTTGCAATTCAAACAGATCTTAGGAGTACAATTATTTAAAACCAGGAAACATTAGACAGCTGTTTCATCGCACTATGAAACTCTTTAATAACAATTAGCATCAAAGATCTAAACTGTCATCGAACTCAAGATTTACAACTTTCAGAATAAGAGCTTAACCTTAAAACTATTAAGTGAGTGAATATCAACTCTGAGATGCAGGTACAACCATCTGACGAGTCCAAAATAGGATGAAACGCGCATCAAACTGGATTCCTCTACTAGCCACCATTCATCTTTGCTCATAATGCTTGTGAATTACGCTAATACGCACATTATGCACATATGACCAATAAGAGACTGACCAGTTTCAGTCCTAAACATCAATAGGAAGATTCAAACAAACAATACTAAGTATATGAGCATTACATAATTTAAATAATTTTTTTTGTTTTTAATGAATTCACTTACATGTTTTACAAGTAATTCCATAACTTTCTTGTATTGATACATAACCAGGTTTACAAAAACATTCATTTTTCTCTATTGAACACATACTATTAGCAACACGTCGCATACAATATGCATCACCTTCTTGTAAACATGGTCCTGGTGAAACAACATGAAATTCATCAGCATTAATCCATAATATCAAATAAATTAATACAATATAATCATTAATGATTATAATAATATTCATTATTTAATTATTATTATTATGAAACAATCTGTTCTACTTTCAAATGGATCATACATAATTGGGGGGTTATTATTATTATTATTATTATTATTAGTAGTAGTAGTAGTAGTAATAGTAGTAGTATCCCATTACAAGAAACATTAAAATGTAACCATCACTTCTAGGTAATTCAGGGGAAAGTTTAATATTCTCAATCTAATGATGATGGTAATAATGAAAAACATAATTTTTCAGTGAATTTTCATTTGTAAATAGTTTAGTAATTAAAATTAACCAATCTAAAATCATTCTTTACTTAGATTGGTGAGTTTATGAATGTTCTAGTGTTGGGTCTATGTGTGTGTGTGTGTTTATGTGTATGTGTACAGTGATAGATTAAAGTTTTACTTAAAACCTAAATTAATCGAAAAACCAATCGGGAAACGGAGATTATACGGAGTCTACAGTATAAATGTATATATAAGTATATATGAGATATTAAAACATTATGGAAAGTAATTTACTTCTGATTCAGATATATTACAGTAATGCTCAAAACGTTTTAAATGATAAGATAGATCATTGACATAGTATTGAATGAATTGTAAGATATATGTATATCCTTCGAGTAGATATGATCACAACAAACTAAGTTGGTATGTTGTAAAAAATATGATTAGAAATTTATTTGAACAATATGAGGTTGTTCTTAAAGGAACTGTATACAGTGCCAATAGTTGTCAAGTATTTAAAACGCTGAGATTTCGATGGAGTTTTTGTTCTCTGAGCTGTATAGTTTGGTCATGGAGCTTTCATCGTCCTTCTGAACGACATCAACAGCACAAACTTCGGGTAATATAGAAGTGTTGTCGTTCCGAAGGACGATGGAAGCTCCACGACCAAACTATACAGCTCAGAGAACAAAACTCCATCAAAGTTATCCACCTGAGCTACAAATCTTCTCCACTGAGATTTCATTTATTAACAAAGTGTTCTAAACCCGTCTTCGTTATTTAGATTTTGACAGGTGGTTAAGATTAATGTTTCCCACACAAATAGTATAATTCAAAGCTGAGTATAAAAATTTACACTTGGTAGATAAATTGCATAATTTTCTTTCAATAATACAATCCTTTGGGGAATTAAACAGATTCTTCAAATCTCACTGAGATGGTTTTACCTTTTAGATGATTCAGTTGATGTACAATAGTCTACATCTCGTACTTAAGACTATATCGTGAAATCATTAACCAATGCCATTCTAAGGGAACTATCTCCCCTATGGTTGTGATTGAATTTTATCAAAGTATTTGAGCTTTAAAATATTTGAAAATTGAGTTGATTATTAGTTTTCATTTTACTAGATGAGATTGTTAATTTGACAGAATTAAACTGACAAGTTATTTCAGAAGGGGTTTTGTGGAGATTTTAGTAATTTTATACAATTGAAATCATGAGTCAATTAAAGCTAGACCACCATGGAAAACCTGGAAGCACTAGACAGTCGTTTCGTCCTATTGTGGGACTCCTCAGGACGAAACGGCCGTCCAGTGCTTCCAGGTTTTCCATGGTGGTCTAGCTTCAATTGACTCATGATTTCAAATATATAAAGTGACTGGTTATTTATTGTAGTTAGATTTATGGTTTAAATTGTAATGATTACGGATAAAAAATGTTTACAATGTTTACAGTTGCAAAATATCTCCCTGTTTTCACCAATTTATCTATTTTTTATGGATACACCTACATAAGAATGAATAATCGGAACCTAAAAGTTGGATTGAATTAACATGTACCAAAGTGGCTACGAAAGAAAATGAAGTGAAATAGTCTAATGTAATTACTAGAATCCATTGTTATTAAAGAGGCAATCAATGAATAACTTATTGGCATTAATGTCCATCTTGAACTAACTAACAATAATCAATTATACTCCATTTAAATTTAATAACAGGCTTGAGGAATGGAAAGCTATGAGGGGTAAAATATTCATCATAAATGAGAGGGCAGGAATTAACCATGGTTGTTTTGATCTTATTTATCTCCTCCCATTGTCAAAAAACATACTTGAAACAAGTCATAAGACTGATCTTAACTCAATCTTTGTGGTTTAATCTGAAAGGTTGTCTAGGGCGAATATTTAGGCTTATTAAAACCTCAGCCAAACGAAAGTTCAACCATCCCATAAAACACTTTGTATATTTATTAGTTCCATATTTGTAATTATGGTTTATTATATCAATAATTTTATCCAGTTACATTTCAGTTTCAGTATATTTTGTTATTCTTTTGTTAATTCTGTTCTCTAGACCACTAAGCCGGCATCCAACGGTGTTAATGTCTAACTTTGCGGGACTTATAGGTTCTAGGTTCGAATCTCCACAAACCCCATTTCTGATAATTCTATTCTCGTCTTCGATAAAACATTTTACGTTCATAAAAATCCTATTAAATGATTTATTTTTGTGATTCTATTCAATTTATTTAAAACAATATGATCGAAATTGCTATATCGATTGCATGAGTGCTCAGTTAATATATGACGTGATGATTCCTGCCATTTATAGAGGAGTGAATTGTCGATCAGAGCAATGATACACGAAAAACCGTACGAGTAGTTTTGAGCACTTATCAGTCCTACTTTCTGTCTAGCCCAGTTCAGCCAGTTAAGTCCAGAACACCAATAACAGCTTCTGCAATATGAATCATTATTCCCAAACATACTGGGTTTATATACCAATCAAACTGACCACATCATACCATAAAATAGAAAATAATATTTGTACAAGATTTGGTCAAATGTGGCTACGAATAGGGAGGACAGTAATCAATAGACTAGGGATAACTCAAGAATGGTAAATCGTATAATTATAGTTCATAGGTCAAAATAAAGTCCATGATAATAAGGGGAACATTAATAGGAATAGTTTAGTTACTTAACAATTATACAATAGGAAATATACATATCCTATTGGTCCATAAATAGTTCTCAAAGTTACCATTCATAAATCTCCATGGGATATCTCATGAAAACAACAAGTTCTGAAAACTTCGAGTTTGATCTCAAGTTGAATTTCATTTGTTTTATATGTCTACGTTGTTGATATCAAGATGAAGTTTTTATATAAAGTAGAGTAACACAATTATTTAACAATATACCTTAAACAATAGTTATTATTAATTCATGATGTAAACTATCAAACCTATTTCATTTGAACTCATTTTGGTAATAAAACGAATGTAATGTTAATAGCTGTTGTTGTAGATATGTTCAAAGTGTTAATTTCTTCATTTTTTGAGAATATCTTGTTTTTGGAATGGTGAATTGTGGAGATTGTAGTAATTTTAATAGTTGAACTCATGAGTTTATCTAAGCTAGATCACCATTAAAAACCTGGAAACATCATCGATTGATTTTACTCAGTCAACCAGTGAAGACTAGGAAGTTTCAGGTAGCTAGTTAGTCTCAGTATGTGACTAGTTAGTAGTAGAAGTCTACCATTCTACCACAGAAGATAGAACTCAGGATCTTCGTTCTCTCACACGAACACACAGCCTCTAGACCACTGAGCCGGTATCCAATAGTTTACGTTTGTGACATTGAGCAACCATCTTCCGGTGTATTTAGAAGGTGACATGATTAAACTCCAGTGGTCATAGTGTGGTGTGATCTACTTATATCCATATAAGTAGTATGTGGTGTGGGTCAGACATAGAATGTATTTTGGCAGAAGACCGATGAGGAAAGAACTGAAATGAAGCGCAATCGTTTGGAAAATGCATGAGCAATGGAATTATTGAAGAAACAGTGAAGATTGAAACAATTGATTGTTAATTTGCAAATTGACTGTTCATTGTTTGGTAATCAGAATTTACTGAGATAGTCTGTAATCTTTGCTTAAATACATTCGATTTTCCCCAACTAGTGTTCTGTTTACTACAATAGCTTCTTATTAGAACTTCGGGAATCACCTGTTAAAATTAGTCACCTACATGCACACGATTTCGGGTTCTGAAAGATCACGTACAAAGGTGACATATGTCCCAACTTGGTAATCATATTGCGTACAACTAAATCCGGCCAGTATAATTTACTGAAAAACTTTTCACAGTAACAATGTTTCAAGATAAGTGAACTATCTACATTAAAACTCATTCGTATTAATAAACTCTAATTGTCACTGTATTTTTCTTCTGTCCATCAAAATCCATTCAATTAAAAACAAAAGGAAGCTGTATGACACTTCTTAGTATTGTTCGTTTGTATCTTTCTATTGTCGTTTAGGAATGTAACTGATCAGTCTCTTATTAGCATATATGGATACTGTGTGGACATCCTCGATATTGCCTTAAGTCACAAGCTTTATAAGCGAAAATAGATGGTGTCTAGCAGTGGAATCAATAACGCGCGTTCTATCCTATTCAGGACTCGTCAGCTGGATTTATCCCAGAGTTGATGTTCACTCCAACAACAATGCGAAGATACAAACAAACAATATTAAGTGAATTTAAACTTCACCCTACTGCACAAGCAGATAGTTGTCAGAACACATTAGCTATGTGAATAACGCGATAGAGTATTGAGCGAAAGGTACTGGGCTCAAGTCCAGGAGTAAACATTAATTCTGAGATGCAGGTACTTTTGAACTGAATGATTAGATATCTTGTAATTTCTAGACGATTTCAGCATACATCTAGTTCCACAGTGTTTCGAACACATAACTTTATAGTATTACTTATCGTTTTATATAAACATGATAGCGTACCAGACACTAGAGTTCTTCAGTTACGTCAACATACTATTAATGCTGAACACAATGATTATGTTAAATTCAGGTCAGTGTTAAGATATGAAATCTCATCGTTTGTTATTCACATATATATAATTTACAAGATTACAGACTAGATTTTAACAATAAAATAATATTTT